ATGAAAAATTGGACATGAGAAAGCTATCAGCGAAATGGGTGCCGCGTTTGCTCACAGTGGAACAAAAACGGAATCGCATGACAACTTCGGAGCACTGTTTGAGCGCAATCCGAAAGAGTTTCTGCGGTGTTTCATCATTGTTGACGAAACATGGACCCATCACTACACGCCAGAAACGAAAGAACAGTCAAAATAGTAGACTTCATCCAATGAACCTGCTTCAAAGAAGGCAAAACCGGTTTCATCGGCTGGAAAGATCATGGCCACCGTTTTTTGGAATTCGCGAAGCATCATTTTCACAGACTATTTAGAGAAGAGAAGGATAATCACGGAGCAGTACTATGCTGATTTATTGAGCCAATTCGACCCTGAAGTGAAGAGAAAACGGTTCCATTTAGTAAAGAGAAAACGGTCCCATTTGGTGCACTTTCATCATGATAACATACCAGCTCATTCGTCCGCAATCGCCACAGCAAAACTGATCGAATTACCCTACGAATTGCTGTCTCATCTACCCTATTCTCCAGATTTGACTCCCTGCGATTTCTATTTATTTCCAAATATGAAAGAATGGCTTGGCGGAAAACGGTTCACGTCAAACGAGAAAGTCATCGCCGAAATAGAGGCCTTTGCGGAGGCATTTTGCGGAGTTCGGCAAATTATATTTTTTGAATACCAGATATGTAAATATGAAACCGTAATTTTTGTATAGAAAATACACGTTTATTGTATGAAAATGATAAAAAATATTTTATTCGAAGTATTGCCCATCGCTAGCTACACATTTTTCCCACCTGTCTGACAATTTGTGGATGCCACGCCAAAAAAACTGTTGTTCTTTTGAAGAAAACCAGTTATCGAGCCATTTTTGTACATTTTCGTACATTTTCGTACATTTTCGTACATTTTTTCGTACATTCTCGTAAGAAGTGAAGCGCTGCTTAGCAAGTGCGTGTCCCATCGATGCAAATAAATAGTAATCGGAGCCAAGTCTGGTGAGTAAGCCGCATGCGAAAGTATTTCCCAACTAAACGCTTCAATCATTTCCTTGACCAGTTTTGCTGTGTGTGATGGTGCATTATCATGAAGCAAAATCACTTTGTGTTGCCTTCTTTATATTCTGGTTGTTTTTCACGCAAAGCTTGAAAATTAATCATTTGTTGTCGGTAGCGTTCAGTATTAACGGTTTGGCCAGGTTTTAGCAGCTCATAATAGATCACACCAAACAGAGCATTGTCTTCCGTCCATAGCGATTTGGCCTTGCAGTCGATATCGATGGTTCGCCTGGAGTTACCCATGATCTTTTACGCTTAGGATTCTCAAAATATATCCACTTTTCATCGCCAGTCACAATTCGATGGAGAAATGACTTTCTTTTGTACCTGGCAAGCAGCATTTCGCAAGTGGTTTTTCGGTTTTCCTGCTGTCTTTCATTCAGTTCATGTGAAATCCATTTTTCCATTTTCTGGATCTTTCCCATGGCTTTCAAACGTATGGAGACGGCTTCTCGTGTCACATTTAATTGATCCGCGAGTTGTTGTTGCGTTTGAGTGTCATCCTCATCCAACAATGCTTGCAATTCGCTGTCTTCAAACTTTTTCGGTGATCTTCCACGTTCTTCGTTTCTCATGTCAAAATCGCCACTTGAATTTTTTAAAACACTCAAAGCACTGTGATTTACCAAGAGCATGCTCACCATAAGCTTCGACAAGCATTCGATGCGATTCTGCAGCAGTTTTCTTCAAATGGTAACAGAAAATCAATGCTGTCCGCAAATCGTAGTTTCCAGGCACAAAATTCGACATGTTCAACGCTATTACAAACTATGTTGTTGTATGAAGCTTGTATTGTTGTGAGTTGAAAATTTTTGTCAGAGATGTCAACAAGGAAATGGCGCCAATGACGCCATTGGCGTTTGACGGTAACTACATTGACAGCTAGGGCCATCTATGGGCAAATTCCGGTTTTATATTTACAGACCTGGTAGTATAAAAATGTTAGAATATCGCTGGATTAAGTATATTGAGCTGAAAGGAGACTATGTTGAAAAATAAGCAAAAAAAAATGTTTAAAATGCGTTTCCTTCCCTAACACGGCCCTTATAGAAATATCATACAAAGAATCATTTATACTTATTTTCATTATTAAAAATACTGGATAATAAGTAATTATCAATAATTCTTAATATGATATTTCTATAAGGGGGGTACTTATCATACAGCCCTCGTAGAAGTTTTAAAATAGATTTCGACTTCGTCAGCTACTTCATTTTATTGTATAAATTACGGACGTTAGGATTGATCTTTTACTTAATTGTATTTCAAAAGAAACTTGACTTTGAAAGACTGACAGCTATACCATTTGGTACAATAACAATGTTTCTCTCTGTAGTCGCCGTACGCTCAGGATCGCGCCAGAGATGTCGCTTCCGAACGGCATCTAGAATGAGAAGAGCGTGCGTGAGCGTGAAGCATTAGGTAGCTTAGTGATTTAGAGCAGTAGTCCGGTAAGCGAAACGCGGGTTCGAGTCCCGTCCTAGCAAAACCTCTCCACCACACTCTCGATATTTTTCTCTTTCTGGAACGAAAAGATATACAGACCTCGAACGCACGGCGTCCGGCCGCCATCTAGTACGCCATCCTCTTTCTATATTTGTGTTTTAAAAGATAAAACAGCAAATTGTAAACGTTAGGAACTCCTACTTTAAAAAAATTTTTACTTCCGATGTTTCATAGGATTCTTATTAAATCCCTTGTTATTTAATCTCTTTGTTAATGATTTACGTTGCATTTTTAAATCTCATTATTTACTATATACTGATAATTTAAAAATATTTAGCTAGATATTGAATTATGATATCCTTAGTTTGCAATTTGAATAATCTTAGTTAATGGTGTTTAAATAATAAAATTAATTAAATTTGGACAAATATTATGAGAGTCACTAGAAAAAAATAACCTATGTATTCACAATTATCATATCTTGCGCTCCTCTCTGTCAGAAATTGAATCAATTAGAGATATCGGCAAATCGTTCAGCTTGGATTTATATGTTTTATGTAGATTATTTCTTATGTATATAACATACATTATACTTAAGAACTTATTTTTGTTGACTTTTATTTCCAAAACCTACCTTTCTTGTAATCGGTGATAAGCTCTCCAATTTATCTAACAATTCTGGATCAGACACTTTAAAAGATTCATTCATGCAATCGTCTGTTAAAGAAGTACTGGCAACTTTTCGAAAGGATTTTTTTTGTTGCAACGATTTTTCGTCTTTGCTATCATTATTATCCTTTTTTCCTATTTCATCCATAGTTCGTTCACCTTGATCGTAAATTTTGGTTCCTTTGCCCGCCAACATATTTTTTAATTCAATTATTTTCTGATTAATGTTAGAAATAAGTTTGTCTCGAACATAGTTGGCTGCAAACTGAAAAAGATAAACATTAAATTGTATTTTATATAATTTATGTGTTTTTTACTTCAAACAAGTGAAACATATAAAATAATTTTCAAATAATTATCAAATAATTTTGCTCCTTTATTATATAACTCCTTACTTATTTTAAAATTTATACAGATTACGCAATTGCGTTATAAATGTTATGTTAATAATATTGTCACGATGCAAACAACGTCACCCAAACCGGCTCGATCAAATATCCGTTAACCGGCGCTTTGCGTTGACCCGCAAGGCTAACAATACCGCAGAAATCAGAATCGACCGCACGAATGCACAAGCGCGTCACACAAAAGATTCGCGACGAGCGAATATGTTAATCCTTAGTGACTTATATGAAAAACGGCACCACACATGTGACCCTACATGAGTCTTTCGAGTCCGACCTCTTTATCATATCTTTAAAATGGTTCAAAAAGTCGGTAAAAATTCACAGATATATTTTCAAGTTATTAGAACAAATACCTGTGTTTTATTGTGTATTTTTTAGGAGGGACAGAAAATTCGGGACCCTTCAACGTACTGAGAAATTTCTATGAAACCGGATTCGAAATACTCATGTAGAGCCACTAAGGGTTAACCGCGACTTCCAACACGACTGACGCCAGACTGATTCAGATCATCTATCGAACTCGATGTTCTCGAACCAAGAGTAAGGATACCAACAGCATTGTTTCTGCTTCCATGTAGTTTGCTAATTCGTTCGGGCAAAAAAAGCAAAGGAGATTGTGCGTTCGTCATCTCTGTCACGTTCTCGACATCTACTTCGTCTTCTCATTCGTTACGAAATTTGTGTGTTCGCGAACTCTACTGCTCACTCGATTCTGCAGATAGATTCTAGGGTTCATACTTTCGCGAAATTTACTGAGCTTTATCGAGTTTTTGGTATCCGTCCTATCTTTTCATACGAACATGAATCAGGATCAGTGTATTTGCTGCGCTCCAACGAGCGTTCTTGGCGATTGTTTGCTTCCTCTGCAGCTCGAGGAAAAAGGATAGGCGCGTTCGCCAACTTTGTTGATCGTTTTTGACACCAAAGGCTTGACGTTAGTATTGCTACCGCCCGATCGATACTATCACGGTTTTGTGGCATACTAACAACACAAATCACGCGTCCGTTATCGCGCCGTGCTGCTACACGGCCATCTCACTGCCGTCACTAACCACGACTATCCACGTTGTTGAGACGCCGACTGCCGTCTCTATGAATCGTGAATGTTGATCAGCATGCTAAATTACTTTCCGTGATCATCTGGCGAAATACCGAATTGTACGATCAAACATTCGCTCTATGCGCTCCGTCCATCGTTTTACAATTTACATCACGACACACCGTAATAACGATCCGACTGTAAGTGTCATCTCATACCAAGTTGCGGAATCCGCGAAGTACCGCTCTGTATCATTGTCATATAAACTCTTTCGTTATTTATTTGTAACGAAGAGTTACCTGAGGGCTCGTACACACCGGCACGACCGAACATCCGTCGAGTTGGTGTACTCGGTACTGAGCGTCACTTAATGGCCACGTGGCTTTTCACCGCACATGATCCGACGCCGCAGCGCTTTGGGTGGGGACAGCGCGACGCGGGTCTGTGCCGGTATAAAAGCCGGGAGCTCGAGACAGTCGAGACAGTCCACTATTCCCGTCGTTGCGGCCATCCTAGCCACAGCGACTTTCAGGACGTGCTGTTGCCTCCAACGACGTGCTCTCGCGGCAGCCTGATTCCGCTTTCTGAAGGTGTGCTCACGGCATCGTCAATCGCTCTCGAGTCATATGTCCGTCTATTTGGACGATATAATAGTACTGAGTAGCACTTTCAAGGAACATATGACCCGGCTTCGAGAGGTGTTTCGACGACTCCGCACTGCGAACTTCCATATAAATACGGAGAAGTACCGGTTTTGCGTGCGATAACTGTGCTATCTCGAGCACATTATCGACCAAGAGGGCATCCACACGGATCCCAAAAACGTGAGCGCCATAGCGGCCATCACCTTGTACCGTATGCTAATTCACTAAAGCTCGCCTTGTGGTACCGCTGCTTCATCGAGGACTTTGCCCGGCTCGCCAGCCCACTTACACGTCTAACCCAAAGAACGTTCAAATAGAGTTGGGGGAACTCCGAGGACGATGCTTTCCGCGTGCCCCGACTTCGCCAAGACGTTCATATTGCAGACAGACGCTAGTCAACATGGCTTGGGAGCCGTCCTTACGCAACACCACGAGGACGGTGGACGCGTCATCGCCCTCAGTGCGGCCGAGAAGAACTACAGTGCAACCGAGCTCGAGTGCCTCGCGGTCGTTTGGGGCGTGCAACACGCGAGATTACCTCGAGAGGTATTGGTTCACTATAGTCACAGACCATCAGTTGTTACGATGATTGCAGCGGCTGGAGACCTCCACTGAACGCCTCGTCCGCTGGCTATTCGAACTCCAGCAGTTCGACTTTGAGCTGTAATACCAACCCGATGCGGCCAACAAACTCGCAAATGCCCTGTCAAGACAACCGACCGTCGGCGCCGTTCGGGCCACTGACATTAATGACTGGTACCTCCGAAGTTGAGTCGCGGTAAAGAAGCAACTCGGAGCCTATCCGGGCTATGCTATTCGAGGGGGACGATTGGGGAATCACCGATTACATAACCTCGATTTTCACGAGGCCCCGGTCGATATACATGGAAAGTATGCGTGCCGCAGGACCAACGGGACGAGGTTATCCGCCAATGAACCAATGACAGGATACTTAGGCGTCTCTAAAACGATAAGTCGCTTGGTTCACACCTACTACTGGCTAGACATGTTTCGAGACATCGCTTGGTACGTGCGAAACTGTCTCAACTGCCTGGCTAACAAGCCTCTGCAACGACTACCGGCCGGGACGCCACACGCCCGCATTATCGTGGCAACATGTCAGCGTCGACCTGATAGGGCCGTTACCGCGCTCCAACAACGGGCACACCAGTCTGCTAATCCTGTAGGACCGCTTCACGAAGTGGGTGGAGATGCAACCCTTTCGCCGCTTCACCACCAAGGCTATCATCAAGGCCCTAACTGACCGCCCCCTCTACTGACATGAATGCCCTCACCAGCTCATCACTGATAAGGGGTGGCAGTTCAGGGTCCACGAATTCGAAAAGCTACTCTGTTCGTTTCAAGTACGATACTAGACGTCCCCGGTGTACGCCTCACACTGTAACCCAGTGGAGTGAGCTAACCGGACCATAAAAACCATGATCCGCTAATACGTAAGGCAAGATCACCGAAATTGGGATAGCGATCTCGGAGCATTGCAGTTCGCTATGAACACCGTGCAGCAGGCGTCCACTGGTTATTCTCCGGCGTTTTTAAATTATGGCTGCGAACTCCGTGCCCCGAGCTCAGCGACGCCCCTGCAGCCGTTAACAGCTACTACACTGGCCGTCCGTCAGAAGGCCTTGCAAGACTCATACGAGTTGGTCCACATCAATCTCGCGCAGGCCTTCCAGCACTAAGAACAGTGACACAATCTGCACTGGCGTCCATGGAGACCGCAACCCGGACAACAAGTCTGGAAACAAGAGCACCCGCTGTCCATCAAAGCCGAAGCCTATGCCGCGAGGCTGGCGCCGCGGTACATCGGTACCCCGTAATCGTCGACTTGTAGGACGGGGCGGGGAGATGATACCGGCATGTGCACGTGTAGGACTTCAAGCCAGCATCTGCGGACCACGTGCCCGCGGAATCAATTGGCGTACGAGATAGCGGCCGCGTTGCCTGGCAACGCAGAAGCAATAAGTCGCCGCTATAAAACGAGGTCCTGCAACCCCAATGAGCATAGTAGCTTCTGTATCCAATATGGACAGACAAAAGCAACGCCTGCAACAGTTCAGGCTATGAGCGACGATGACGACAACGACGAACCGACACACCCGACCCGCCGATCGATGCCGGCCATAAGAATGGCGGTGCAGCACTCCGACGCGACGAACCACCGCAAACACGAGTGGCTCATGAGCCCGCCGCCGCCACCACCACCAAAGCGACGCGAGCCGTTTCAGTGCTCGACCTGCGACGCGAGCCTGCGAGGCTCGCAACCATCGCGAGCCAGGATATTGCAGCGTCCGAAACGGGCCGTGGCGCACTAATCATCCGAACGTCCATGCGACCCGCCGTCTCCACCACCTACGGCGCAAACCAGAACCGCGGCCGAACAACCGCCTCCACGCCAACAAACGACCCAGCCGCCGCACAGTGTAAGATTTCTCTGATCTGGCGGGATTTTATTATAAAAATAGAAGTTAAAATTTTCTAATAACCTTTGAATACGTGTTAAATAACTAATATTTTATTCATAAAATGCAATGGAAGTAAATAAAAAAACTTTTAATGCTAACTTTAAAGACAGTCGGAAGTTCAACATTCAACATTACGGTAAACGTTGATTTTCTTTCCTCAGTTTTTGTGGTTACATAGGTAATATTAAAATACATATGTAACAATGGAAAAGTTTCAAGTGATTGGATATTTCACGTGATTTCTCTTTAGCGCTTCTTTTTATTGTGAGCTGGTGATTCTAAATAAAATAATTGACGGTAATTTTGAAGACTTTCAGATTTGTTCTTAGCGACCCCAAAACTCTAGAAACAGAATATTTTAGTTTGTCTGTGAAATTCAACAAATTTTGATATTTGGCCCACCATTTTGGATTCGTCATTTTAAATTTAGTAAAATATATTTAGAATTCTTTAAGTACAATTAAAATCAATATTTGTCCTAAACTTTAAGAAAATTAGAAAAACTATTTCGATATGAAATAAGCATTTTATACAAACTTATACCTTTTTCGGAAAAAATTTTTCTTTTCAATCTACCATTATCTGAAATTTCCTTTCGAGATACAATAATTTCAATACCACCTGTGGAAACGGTGACTCCAAAAACTAATATATACATCGTTTCAGAGAAATTGATTAGCGCGTTTGATCGT